TCACATCCTCAAACATAAAAGTGACTCACAGGGATCTTTCTAATCAGGTTTTTTTTTTTTATAAAACGTGATTAAATAGTAAACCTGGCTGTACAGAATTTTATCAGCACACACTGTATAACAACGACAGCTGGAACAAAACTACATCAAAATACCAAAACTGAATAAAGTTACGCACATTTTCCATCGATGTTTGAAAAGTGTACAGTATATGTGCATATTTTCTCTTGTTAGATTAAACCCATAACAAATGGAAATAATCATAAGCCTCGTCAACTAATATTTTACATTTTATTAACTTTTTCAAATAAGTCTTCATAGCTGTACAAAGATTCATTATTATCAAGACAATGACAGCTGACTGGTGACAGCTGAAATGATCTCTGGAGAAAATCGCCCTAATTGACTAAAATATGAAAGATTATTCTGTTTTGAACCCATTCAGCCTCCGTACCCATCTATCTACACCTACACTATATAGATAGATATATAGTAACATTGAAGCATTTACAGCTAGCTAAAAAACATAGCAGCTACTTATATTGTCTATTCTGTGTGCTCTTTCTGTGGTCCTGTATGTGCGCTGCAACATTGAAATTTCCCCACTGTGAGACGAATAAAGGTTCTCTTATCTTCTCTATCCATCAAGATAGATAGCACAGAGGGAGTAGTGGGAGAGGTGTAGGGTCGGAGAGTGTTTGGGCCTGAGCATGTGTTGTTTTGCGTTACACCATACGATATAGTTTTTTGCATCGTTCTCTTTGACGTTGTTGTTCTGTGAAATGGTGTTGCACGGTTTTGAAAAAAACATTTGAATTGATCCGATTCCTTACAAGTCTAAAAATACCGGACACAAAAAGCCAGACGATTGAAAAGACTTCATATTGCTTTGATAATGTCCATCTCCATCACAAGGAGAGGCTGAGCAGGATCATGTCAGAGCAGAGGAACGGAGGAAACAGCCTTTAAAAGTGCTCCCCCTTGTGGCTGCAGAGGGTAGGGGCAGGAGTGCGCTCTGGCCCAGAAACAGCAGCTTTCACGTGTGTATTATTCATGCTACATCGGGCGGTTTTCAATTATTGACAGGCCTTCGCTTTTGGTCAGTGCATGACAAAAAAGATAAGTATTATTAGATCTTTGACATGGACTTCTAAAGGCTTTGGGACTGAAACTATGGTGGCAGATCATTTGGCCCGAGCAGAGAAGTAGGTTATATAATAAATCATATAGAGGAGAGACATGTGTATCGTTCCTCAAATTATGGCACCAAATAGTTTAAATTCAAGATTGTATGCTTGTTGAGATATACAGCATTAAACAGAGTCAAAACAGGAAACTACATTTAGTACATTTAATACATCTGTAATGCAAGTCTACCATAGAGTCTACCATAAAATATGGTAGACTCAAAGTTTTATTAAGCATTAATTTGCTCGAATGTTTATCATTATGGCTCACAGCTTTTAAAACTCCCAAGTAAAACATGAGACATTTAGAATATTTTGACATTTTTTGGACTGTAAGCGACAATCATCGGGCTCGAGTTTCGTTTTTTTCAAGGTGAATTCCAGAAATAGATGATTGCGTCACCTGTATGTTTATACCAAGAGGATTCATTTGAAGAAGTCTTTGTGTGACTTTCTTAAAATGATGGCAAAAAAATAGTGCAAATAGGTCCTGAAGATAATGGCCAATTCTTTATCCTTTATCTTTACTCTTAAAACTTGCTTAAGCTCAAGGTGCAAGCAAGTTCCTAGTTTTGTGACTTTCTGTTAGTTACTGTACACTGGCAATAAAAGAATCCTGATTTTGATTCTGAGAGGTCTGGGATCGTCACAGCCGAAGACATTGTTTTTTAGTTGGTTCACGGCATAAACGTCACGACCAGAGGTTTTATAACAAGACAAAAATACAGCAGTATATTCGGCACTGGGGCACTAGATAATTTTCCTTTCGACCTTCACATCACCACAGCATCAATTGGAAAAGCACTGACTTCTGCAGACTGTTGTGAAAACCAGCACAGTATTCTGAAAATGATTGTGCACAAAGTCGTATTTAAGATCCATATTGCCTCTATTCAAGCCTGCGGGTACACATGAGATATAGCATTCAAGTCCATAGCCAATATTCTGCCCAGTCAGCCAAAGTGAAATCACACAGCCGTGCCCATATTGTTTGGTACATGTGTTTAGCCACAAGGAAAGCACAGCAAAAGAAGAGAACGGAAAAAAAAAGCTGAAAAGAAACTGCAGGAGCGGTTAAAGCGTACGTGGAAAACGGAAAAGTCAACAGCGACTGTGGTGTTGATGTCGTGATTGAGTGAATGATTGAACCGTGTTTTTCATTTTTGTGGTGAAAATAAGAACATGTTACAGATTACCAGACCAAAATAAGCCTCGACATAGGTCAACAAGTATATATTGAATGTAGTAGGTGCAAGTTATGTAAGTATATCATACCGGGAGATTTGAGAGAAAATGTTTTTGAATAATACACATTTTCAAGATTATCTGCTTAATACAAGGACAGCGTTTAAAGCAGTTTTCACGTACGACTCCACGATGACAAAACAGTCATCGTGTTTATCCTCAATCCCCAATGATTCGGGCAAAATATGACATTTTTACAGATATACATCGTTTATACATAATTTTTTTCATATGGGATAATTCATATTTGAGGTTCGGTTAAAACCCCAGAGCAATAATAAATAATAAAATAAATACAATATACTACATGGTTTGAAGTAAGTTGTACTATAGTGTGTGTGTGAATGGTTGGTGGTGGTCGGAGGGGCCGATGGCACAGACTGGTTGCCTCTCTTCTGTCAGTGTGCCCCAGGGCAGCTGTGGCTACAGTAATAGTTTGTCACCACCGTAGTAGTAGTAGTAGTAATCTTTATTTATATACCGCCTTTTCACTGCAGATCTGAGTCTCAAAGCGGTTTACACTTGTCCTCTCACTCCACACAGAGATGGGAGCAGGGTCGCCAGTACAGGAGGCGCATGCCAGAACTATTGGACATATTTTTAGTGGTAGGGGAAACCGGAGTACCCGGAGGAAACCTACGCAGACACGGGGAGAACATGCAAACTCCACTCAGAAAGGCCCTGGTCCGACCGGGATTTGAACCCAGGACCTTCTTGCTGAGAGGCGAGAGTGCTATCCACTCAGCCACCGTGCCGTGTATGGAGTGAATAAATAATGACATGTGAAGCGTCTTTGAGTGCCCAAAAAAGCGCTACATAAAACCAATGCATTATTATTAGTATTATTATATTGATTTAGAGAAGTTTTGACTGGTAAAAGGGACGGAGTTTACAATGACAAACAATTTCTTAAGGATTAAAAACTGCATTTAAAAGTCTGGACCGGCTTTTTCCATTAAAAACACAGAGACACTAAAAACACAAAAATAATATATTTGCACTGATTCTTCTAAAGCAGGCATGTCATGTGGCCCTCTACCTCGTTATCACATATTCTTTGAGATCTTAAACACCAGTGTCATCCAGCCATCTTCAGCTCTGTCAATATAGACATGACCTTCTTGTGAAGCTCAAAACCAAAGAGATTCAGAAATTTACTTTTTTCACAGCTCAACTTCAGCTCTGTGACAATGTCATCCTCATGAAAAACCTGAATCCTGAAGTTTCACAATCCATGCTTTCGGCTCCTGGACAACTCTTCCTAAAAGAGTTGTCCAAACTAACAAGTTTAGTTGATGCTTGTAAAGAATCACTTCCATCTCGCAGCTCTAGTCGTGCCAATAAAGCCGCGGCCTTCACGATAACACCGTGCATTTAGCAGTTTTTATACACATACATTTGCAGCGTTATCTAAAACACGCCGCAAGCAAAGATACGGTATTCCCCATTCTGTCCCATCGACTTAAAACCTCATCATTCACCTGTAGATAAAGCAGCTGCCGTCTATTTGCTCTTGTACTGATCTTGTCTGAGCACTCGTCTGGATTTCTCCCCAGCTCAAACTTTTAAACATATCAGAACAGAATATTTGTCTAATTTCTTTCATTTCAATGAATTTGTGAATAGCCTTAAATCACAGTCGTCTCGGAGGACTTTACAAAGCTGTTAATTCGCAGATTGGAAATGCAATAATAACAAACACATATCCATGAACCAGGTGCAATTTAAGCTAGAGTTTTATCTGGTTAAATAATAAAAATAGATCCTGTTTAATGTGTGCAACCTGCGTGCTCTTCCTGTTGTTCTGCTGTAATGTGCAGAATGATTACATGCATTTTCCCACTGAGTCTTCCTGAAAATGTGAGACAAGCTTCTTCTCTGACACTGTTTAAATCCAATTCTTTTTAGCTGTGCATACAACTGAGGGATTGTAACTGTACTCGTTTATTATTGATGATTTTAATGCCTTGTGTGACTGTCTCCATCTTATTTTGTTCAGCACTTTGAGTTGCCTTGTGTAGGAATTGTGCAATACAAAAAAACTTGCATTGTCTTGCCAATTTTATAGAAGTGATTGGTCCAGAGAGAAAAAATAATACAATGCTTGAGAGAAATATGAACGTCTTTGCTAATTTTGTATATTTCTTTATTATTATTATGTTCAAGATAGAGATTTTATACTTGTTTTTTGATGCTAGAGTTAGAGATCTTTTTAAATTTTAGTTAGTGTAGCTGTCACTTATATTGTGCTGTGTGCTCCTCATTCCTACTGTTCTATAACTTGTGACACAACACTGAAATTTCCCCACTGTGGTACGAATACAGCATCTCTGAATCTTAGTCTAAACAATTCAAAGAGTAATTTCAATTCCATTAAATCACTCAAAAAAATAAAAAAAATCCTCTTTCAATGCAATGTAAACACGACTGCCTCCCAAGCACAAACGCCTGAGTCAGCCTCCCGAGAGCATGTGATGTCTGCGCCCTCATTACATAAGCGTTGCTATAGCCGACATGTTTTCATTTCAAGAACAAAATGTACAGCTGGGCCTTCCTCCCTTTCCCCCTTCAGCGCTCTCGGTGGCTCGTGACGCCGCCGTGGGCAAAGACACCGAGGCTTATTATGGGGCCGTTTGAAACCAAGGATGCAACGGTGGCCACGGCTCCACTCCACTCCCCACCCAACCACCCCCCCTCCACTCCCCCCGAAGGGAACTTTCGCTGGCCCCCAGAGATGCGCACGGTGCCAGAGCTCTCCTCACGCGCCACTGACACTGGTACAGCTGCAGAGAGCACTCCGCCCTCGCCCCACAAACGCCCAGATGTGAATGTTTCCGCATGCAAATCACAGCCTTTTGAGCCAGAGCTGTACAAACCCAGCCAAGCCCCATGTGTTATAAAGTAGAAGTGAGGAAGGAGAGACATTAGAAGGCATTTGTGCTGACCAAAGCAGCTATTTCGGACCAGTCTTTTGAGTCTAATCGCCTTTTAACTAGCTCCATCTCTGCTCCCGGTGACCTCAAGGGCGTTCCCTGTGAGCCGTACAATATGAAATAGAAATGAATGAGTCCAGAGTTGTTGATCGATATAAGTATCAGCACCGCGGCATTAGCTCTGCTCGTGCAGTAAGTGGGATTAATGCTGACGCCGTTTCCATTTATCTTAAACCTGGCTTTTTACATTGAGAGCCATCGTGTTTTACATTGTGCGGTGATTGATGAGAAGGACGCAACATTTAGTCCATGTGTCCTGGTGTGGATTTTATGTTATTTTGCACTTGCCCTCAGATTTTGTTTTAGTTTTACTTCCTGTCCTGTCCCTTTGTTGATAGTCGGCCCCTAATGTGTTTCACCCATAGAGTGTCACCTGTGTATTTATGTACTTGTATCCACATTTGTTGCTACTCCATTGTCTATGTATTTCTGTTTTCCTGGTTCCTGTGTTTTGTTTGGACTTTGTTTATACCTTTTAAATTATTCCTTCAATAAATCATATTTTTTTTGGCATTCCTGCATTTTGGGTCCTTCCTTATTTTCCCACCAGGTGTCCTCGTGAGGCAGCTCTGTCAAGTATGAAGCGATTCTGGCTCTTACTTACTTGTACATTTGTGCCTTTAGATTTACTTGGGAAAACCTGGTGTTTGCGCTGAAATGATGGAATGATACTCTCACATTCGCACTCACAAACACACACTCATTCACCCTGAACTATTGCACAAGTTTTAAGTGGTAGGGGAAACCGGAGTACCCGGAGGAAAACTACGCAGACACGGGGGGAACATGCAAACTCCACTCAGAAAGGCCCTGCCCCGACCGGGATTAGAACCCAGAACCTACTCAGGATAAACATGACATGATTTATCCTGAGTAGAACAAATTAGCTTGTGCCTCACAGCAAGGAGGTTCTGGGTTCAATTCCACCTCCAGGCCTTTCTGTGTGGAGTTTGCATGCTCTCCCTGTGTCCCCTAACCATTAAAAATAAAGCGCTTTGTGACTCTGGTCTGTGAAAGGCGCTATATGAATAAAGATTACTTCCTTACTTATAAAAAGTCAGACCTGGAGAATCGTTTCAGCTCCATCCAGGGCCTCGACTCCACTGGTTCTATCAACGCCGGCTATGAATACTTCAAACCATTTTTGTTTCATATCTTTTACTCAAGCGTTTGATTTAGCAGCATGGAGCGTGAATAGCAGCGCTGCACGTCCATCTGACGCATGGAAGGAGAAGTCCACACACAAAATGGAATTCATCATATATTTCACGCATGCCGGCGTACAGGCATAAAGGGAGCGGTTTCTATAAAATACACAGAATGACAAAATGCAGAAATTAACCCTGAGCAGTCAATGTGACTTAGTTGTAGTATAATTACAACTCCACCTGCAGAGGGTCAGTGAGGGGCTGGTGCTATGAGACTTGGGTGGCATCTCTGATTGCCACCCCCCTGACCCAGAAATGGATTAAAGGGTAGAAAATGGATGGATGGATGGATAATTACAACGCTCATGTACCTTTGTGGTCTTATGAACGTTATAACTTTCTGATTCTATAAGTAGTTTATGTCAGTATTTTTATATTGATAGAAATTAGAAATTTTATATAGAAATTACTTTATTTTTTAAAAGTGTTCCAAACGTTGTTCTGCTTTAACTAAAATCTAAATATAGCCATTTTCGGTTGCTTTCTTTCTATGTCAGTTAAAGCCCTTTTTTCCAAGGGGCTGGCCCTATACTGGTTCTGGACTGAGCCTGGACTGGTTCTGGTTCAGCTTGGTTTTCCACCGGAGAAGAGTACATTTTACGGGGTAATTTTTCAGAACTACACGATTTTGAAAGGAGTAGGGCAAGGCAACTTTATTTTTATAGCATAATTCAACGATAAGTGCTGAACCAAACAAGATAGAAATAATCACACAAGGCATTGAAATGATAAATAGAGTAGCCCTAATGACGGCTCTGGAAGTTCCAGTAGTTTCTGAATTCTGGGCAGCCTAGTGTTAAAGCACTAGGTGAGCTCCGTAGGTGAGCAGGTACCACCACTACCTCGCCCAATGCGTTAAGGACTCTTATCACACAGTGCTCACTTGTGCTTTTAAATTGACTTTAGAAAACCTGGCATTTGCCCAGATCAGCTTCATAGGTGTGATCTACAACACTGAGAATTACATTATTTCCACTGTAGAGCAGTCATCAAGAGCCACTCGAGTTTGAATGACTTCTGAAGTGATAAATGTGCAGTTTCTCCCGCACTGCAGTCACCCTCCTGGTTCACACACGGCTGACAGACGGGAACCTATACCCACATAAACCTGTACCCACATAAACCTGTGCCCACATAAACCTGTACCCACATAAACCTGTGCCCACATAAACCTGTACCCACATAAACCTGTACCCACATAAACCTGTGCCCACATAAACCTGTACCCACATAAACCTGTACCCACATAAACCTATACCCACATAAACCTGTACCCACATAAACCTGTACCCACATAAACCTATGCCCACATAAACCTGTACCAACATAAACCTATACCCACATAAACCTATGCCCACATAAACCTATGCCCACATAAACCTATACCCACATAAACCTGTACCCACATAAACCTGTACCCACATAAACCTATACCCACATAAACCTGTACCAACATAAACCTATACCCACATAAACCTATGCCCACATAAACCTATGCCCACATAAACCTATACCCACATAAACCTGTACCCACATAAACCTGTACCCACATAAACCTGTACCCACATAAACCTATACCCACATAAACCTGTACCCACATAAACCTGTACCCACATAAACCTATACCCACATAAACCTGTACCCACATAAACCTATGCCCACATAAACCTATACCCACATAAACCTATGCCCACATAAACCTATACCCACATAAACCTATGCCCACATAAACCTGTACCCACATAAACCTGTACCCACATAAACCTATACCCACATAAACCTGTACCCACATAAACCTATGCCCACATAAACCTGTACCCACATAAACCTGTACCCACATAAACCTGTACCCACATAAACCTGTACCCAAACAAACTGAGACGCATCCAGTCGAGTCTAGGTCTAATATCAGGGTTCAGAGGTGACCCATTGCTTGTGTTAGAATTCTTCTTCAAAGTACGGAGATTTTTTAAAACAAAAGCATTGCCAGCAAATTATTTTTAGGAATCTCCCCCAGTCACACTACATTATTTCAGAATCAGAATCAGAATCAGAATCATTTTTATTGCCAACGTAAGTAACGGGAGGTCACAGACTTGGAAATTGCTTTGGCTCAGTGCAACAGTCAAAAAGAGATAATAAAAATAAGAATAAAAAACACTTCTAAAGAATAAATTTAAATTTAAAATAGAGTTACAGTTACTATTTACAATATACAAGTGACAATGGTGCACACAATGTAAGGTGACAGCAGTACAGTGAAGTAAAGTGACGTATGATGGGCAGTAAAGTGACTTTATAAAGGGCGGGGGGACAGGTTAAGAAGTGTTCAAGAGTCCAACAGCAGAGGGGAAGAAACTGTTCTTGTGGCGGGAGGTTCTAGTCCTGATGGACCGCAGCCTCCTGCCTGAGGGGAGTGGTTGGAATAGTCCATGTGCAGGGTGAGAGGGGTCGGCTGTGATACGACCAGCCCGGCCTCGAGCTCGGGCGACGTACAGGTCCTGCAGCGATGGAAGGCTGCGGCCGATCACTTCCTCTGCAGAGCGCACAATGCGCTGTAGTCTCTGTTTGTCCCTGACTGTGGCTCCAGCGAACCACACGGTGATGGAGGAGGTGAGGATGGACTCGATGATGGCCGTGTAGAACTGCACCAACATCTGTGCAGGCAGCTTGGCTTTCCTGAGCTGCCGCAGGAAGTACATCCTCTGCTGGGCCTTCTTGATGAGGGAGCTGATGGTCGGCTCCCACTTGAGGTCCTGGGTGATGGTGGTGCCCAGGAAACGGAAGGACTCCACAGAGGTGATGGGGGAGTCCATCACGGAGGGTGGGGGTGGGGGGACAGTGCTCTTCCTGAAGTCCACAATCATCTCCACTGTCTTCTGGGCGTTCAGCTCCAGGTTGTTACCACTGCACCAGGACACCAGCCGGTCCACCTCCCCCCTGTAGGCGGACTCATCGTTGTTGGAGATGAGTCCAATGAGGGTGGTGTCGTCCGCGAACTTGATCAGCTTCACGGAGTCGTGGCTGGAGGTGCAGTGGTTGGTGTACAGGGAGAAGAGCAGGGGAGAAAGAACACAGCCCTGTGGGGCTCCTGTATTTATAATCCGAGAGTCCGAGACATTCTTCCCCAGACGCACTCGCTGCTTCCTGTCCGTCAGGAAGTCAGTGATCCACCTGCAGGTGGAATCGGGCACGTTGAGCTGGGAGAGCTTGTCCTGGAGCAGGGATGGCAGGATTGTGTTGAAGGCAGAGCTGAAGTCCACGAACAGGACCCTGGCGTAGGTCCCCGGGGAGTCCAGGTGCTGTAGGATGTGGTGGAGGGCCAGGTTAATGGCGTCGTCTACAGATCTGTTGGCTCTGTAGGCGAACTGCAGGGGGTCCAGGAGGGGGGAGGTGAGGGACTTGAGATGGGAGAGAACCAGGCGTTCAAATGACTTCATGACGACAGACGTAAGTGCTACAGGTCTGTAGTCATTGAGTCCTGTGATCCTGGGCTTCTTCGGGACGGGTACAATGATGGAGGATTTGAAGCAGGCCGGGACATGGCAGGACTGCAGAGAGGAGTTGAAAATGTCCGTGAACACAGGAGTAAGCTCACTGGCGCAGTGTCTCAGAGTGGCCGGAGACACGTGGTCCGGGCCAGGAGCTTTGCGGGGGTGCAGCCTCAGGAAGAGTTGTTTAATCTCTTTAGCGGCTATTGTTAGGCTGGGGGCAGGGCTGATGGGTGGGTCGTTAGAGTAGTGGGGGGTGGGGGAGGGAGAGGTGTCAGGGGCAGCATCAAAGCGACTGAAAAATAAGTTCAGATCGTCAGCTAGCTTGTGGTCATCAGCACAGGGGGGGGCTTTGGGTTTGTAGTTGGTGATCTCCCGTAGGCCCCTCCAGACAGAAGCAGTATCGTTGTTACCAAACTGCTCCTGTAGTCGTTCTCTGTGCCGGGACTTGGCTGCTTTCAGTTCTTTCCTGAACTGATATTTAGCTGCTTTGTAGCCGCTGCGGTCCCCCTCCCTGAAAGCAGACTCCTTTGCTTTCCTGAGCTGCCGGAGTTTAGCAGTGAACCAGGGTTTGTCGTTGTTATAGATGACCCTGGTCCTTGTTGGAATGATGCTATCCTCACAGAAGTGGATGTATGACGTCACAGTGTCCGTATATTCATCCAAGCTGTCTGTGGCAGCTCTGAAAAGGTCCCAGTCTGTAGATTCCATGCATGCGCGCAGCTCTTCCACAGCTTCATCAGACCACACTTTGGAGCTCCTCACTGCAGGTTTTGAGAGCTTTAGTCTCTGTCTGTAAGCAGGAACCAGATGTATCATGGAGTGATCTGAGAAGCCAGGGCTGGCTTGGGAACAGCGCGAAAAGCTCCGCGCACGGTGGTGTAACAGTGATCCAGAGTGTTCTCCTCTCTGGTCGGGCATTTGATAAACTGTCTGTATTTGGGTAATTCCTGGCTCAAGTTTCCCTTATTAAAATCCCCCAGGATAATAATCAGAGAGTCCGGGTATAAGCGTTCCATACACAGTACTTGCTCTGCGAGTGCGCGCTGAGCCTCGCGCGCGTCCGCGCATGGCGGTATGTAAACAGAGGCAAGAATGAATGAAACAATTTCCCGCGGGGAGTAATATGGTTTACAATGAATGAAAAGATATTCCAGAGCAGGAGAGCAGTGCTTGGAGATCACTGTCACATCGTTACACCAGTTTGTATTGACGTAGAAACAGAGCCCCATTTAGAACCATGTCCTCTTTGGAGTTCAAAATAAAAATAGTAGGATGCATTTCCCACAACTGCTGCTTAAACGATTATTTCATGTACAATAACATTTTTTGCCTGAGGAAGGCCTGTGGCCGAAACGTTGCTAATAAACCACTGGTGTTTGCAAGTTGGACAGTGTGCGGGTGTCATCCTTTCTTTCATGTACAATAACATGAAATACCAAACCAACAATGCTCAATATCATTAAGAAATATCAACATGAAGTCAAAATATTAAATTACATTAAATACCATTTATTTTTGTATAGCCCTGAATCACAACAGCCACCGTCTCGGAAGAATTTACAAAGATGACCACTGTTAATAAATGTCCATAAATGTCCTTTATTGTCCCAGATCAACACTGTCTTCTGCATTTGCAAGGAAGGACTCAAAAACCTGGCGGTAAAAAGTGAGAAACCTCAGGGAGACCCATATTGAGAGAGGGATCCGCTCCCACAGGCAACACAACCAGGACTGAGGCAGTGCGGTGCAGGACTGAGAAGGCTCCCAGGTGGGGAGGGGGGTCCAGCCCACCAGCCTGGGGCAGGGGAATCCCTGCCTCAGAAAATAATAATATCACCAAGCCCTTTAGCCTTATTGACAGTACTTTATTGACTGGTCCAGATGCATGTCATAAATCGTGAAAACTAAATCAAGTGCCTTCCATGACAGAAGGCTTGATTCCAGAACTTGGGGCTATTATAATAATGCGTGTGTACATCCGACAGTGACTCACCTCCCCTTGTGGAGCGCTTTGTCTGATACTCTGATGCCAAGTGACAGCGTGCTCCGTCAGCTCATGCGCTGGCAAAGTCATCATTGTTTTGTACAGAGTTCTGGCCCGATTCAAGGCCCTTCTATCTTTTTAACCACAGCCTATAGCGGAGTGTGCAGACCGGAGTGATGACGCACGCGCTTTTCATCAGCACTGCATGGCGTCATCTCAATAGAGGTCTTGCATTAAGTAACTCCCGGCCCGTAATGTTAAGTGGGCATTCCCTACTGCACTGGCTTTACCAAATCAAACGCCCTGAGAGGAGGCTTGACTTTATCTACATGAAGGACACAGTTTATGTAATGTTATGAATGTATTTCAAAAATATCACGAGAGGGATTCATTTGTCTGTTTTAGCTTTTCATCCAAGCAAAGAACCTTTATGGTGAGAAAAGGTTTTATCTTGATTGTGTAATAGCTGTGATCTACAATAAGATTAATGCAGAGGTCACCAACCTTTTTAAAGATGAGGGCTACCTTCAGATGGCCGAAAGTATCAAGGACTACTGTATATAGTTGAATTGTCTGGTTCAGACCAGGCTCAGACCTGGCTCAGACCAGGCTCAGACCTGGACAGAGTATTGGTGACCCCTGCATTACTGTGACCGATGCTATTTTTAGAACCTGCCTCACACTGTGCCTTGAGCGGTCCTTGAAGGCAAATTTAGGATGCGACTGTATTATTTCTAAATTCTTACAAGATTCAAAGGCCACATGTCTAAATATATTATAATATCACATTAGTATTAAGTCTATAACATTTAAGGCTTTACCAAGTTCACCTAGTAATTAGGGCTTGGTAAAAATGGCTTTTTCAGTCACTTGGACCAGTTTGGGAGGTTTTAGGGCCCCAGTTGGCATTTGGGCCAGAGGTTGGATACCCCTGAACAAATGTAGCCCTAATGCGATCTGATAGAAATCAAGCCATTCATACGTTTTATCAAATTATCCAAGTTTGCATAATACACCCTAAGCCTAACCCTATATTAATCGACTCAATAAGATTCAGTAACTTCTATATCACCACAAATTGAGAGGTCCAGAGCCAAATCCCTTGCCAGTATAAACAATCTGAGCATGTTGTATTCACTTACTAAAAATATTGGAATTATTTAAGATCAAACAGAGTTAAATTGAGCTGGCAGCGAAACAGGAGCTCCCCTTGGCACCTCTCATGAGAAAGCCTTCAGGCGATAGCAGCCTTTCTGCAAAGGCCAAGACTACCTCTGGCTCATTCCTGGTATCTGGCTCCAGTGCACTTCCAGGCACTTGTTTTCCGAAGGGACAAAAGCAGCAAACGATTATTCCGTGACATTTGCAGCATCACAAATCCTTATTACAGGACAGCGAGCATGAGCGAGGGGGTTGCATTGTATTTTGACAGAGGGACAGAGTTCAGTTACAACAAAGAAAGATGTTAACGAGAGAAGTGGCGGACAGCAAAAAAGGTCAGTGTTCTTGAAAAGCAGAAAAACAAAAGATGAATTGCTTGATATTTGTAAGAGATTTTGCCATTCAACATCTGACAGCTATTAAAATAGTCTATTTAATGTTCCAGCATTGTAACTACATCAGAAACAGACCTGGGGTCGTTTTTAGCTTCATACACACCGTTATATGGCACAAATCAGCACGAACATTCTCCCCGCTCCTTCTGCCCAAGTGCTACATTTCAAATGTGCTCACTCTTCAGAATGGATGAATGGCTAAAGCAGAGATTGTATCTAAATTTGTTCTGGAAACAGCATATATTGCGTGTCACTATATGTCGATGTTGGCACACTCTGGTCAATTGTTTACTCAAATAAAGTAGACCAAGCTCCATGTCTGTTTTTTCTCATATGGAGGATCCAAGAATGATGCAGGTTTGATAACCGGGACTTTCTGGGTGATGTTTGCATGTTTAAATCAGTCTCTGAGTTGGACAGCACCCGATACACGCACCTCTAAAATCCTCCAGCTCAGGTCCTGACGAAGCAGATGGGGCACTAGAACTGTCACTTTATTTGGACACTCAAAGACACTACATGTCATTATGCTCTCACTCCATAAACAATAGTGATAAACTATTACTGTAGCCACAGCTGCCCTGGGACACGCTGACAGAAGCGAGGCAACCAGTATTCATTCTGGGTGAAGTGTCTTGCCTAAGGACACAACAACAGTTTGGCACTTTACAGCCGCCCCACTGTGGCATCAGGTGTTCCCAGAGGTCTCCCATGACAGTACTAACCAATCCCTGCCCCGCTTAGCTTTAGACGTCTGACAGATCCAGCTTTCACATGCAGGTATGGCCACAGCTTGCCCAAGTCGAGGCATTGGGACGATGGGTCAAATGCAGAGGAAGAATTTCACTCCAGTATTATTAAAAAATAATTAAAAAATCCCTTAACCGTAAAGATATTTGCCATGAACCAGGTTAAAACCGATTTGGAGGCGTCACGTAGTTCCTGTCATGGTCAGTGAGTTTTTGGAGGAGGAGAGAGAAATCTGCTGCTTAAAGAAGACAGATGGACGTGCGAAAAAACTTGTTATGCAACGTGACAAGGTCTTTTAATCCAGCATTTAGGGGAAAACACAGAGAAAGCTGAAGTGTTAGACAGTTGTCCTGTGCTCTTCGTCGGGACCACTGCAAAACAGGACAGAGCGCGGCTGGCACAGGTCCAGCTCTCAGACGTCCCTTATAATTATAATGGCGTGTTTGTACATACAGTAATTGCAGTTCACAGCCTTTTGCAAAGTGTAATGTATACAAATGCTGTCCTTGCTCCTCATCATGTGTTTACACAGAATCAGCCTTTGCCTGTGAAGGACTCCCGGGTGAAGGTCTCATATTCATTAAAATGACAGATTCTTGTGTCTGGTATTAGACCATGAGACACGACGGGGGCAATTCGACTTAACGTTATCCGGTGAGGCACCAGCTGTTTCGGGACATGTCGTCTGAAAAACTGAAAGCATTTGGACGAGATTACAGCAAAAAGATGTTGATGGGATTAAATCACAATACGGGATAACAAAGTGAGCGGCTGCAGAATAAACAAGAGGATGCTTATTCAGCGAGAAGGGAGAAGGGTACAGATTGCGTGTCCGGTCCTTGGAATATTGATACAGCATCGGAAATAAAACCAGAAACTACAATTTGATTATGCTGAATATGATTACAAGATTAGAAGGAAGGTGTCACCAATCACATGCCACTGTTATGATTCGAGAGCGTAGTGACATTTACTAGCAAAATAACTGATTAACCTGAATAAGCCTTTGCGTACACAACATACAAACAAAGCGACACAACTAATATGCATGCTTGCTTGCTAAAAAAAGAACAAACAAGTGACTCAGCACTGCTTCACAGCTTCATCAATGAGTGTCCAGTCCTAGCAGCAGCACCGCCCTTTCACCACAAACACAAACACAGCGACTCACTCACATGTCGTACAGCCGATACCCCATGGCCGAGCCGGGTCTGCTTGCGTGCGGGGCGCTGGGAGGTGGGTCCCGTGCCCGCCGGCTGTCCGAGGTGCTGGCCACGGCTCGCCACACGCTGGGCTTGTCCATCCTCCTTGGGGTGCGCTGGGCTCGGGGAAGTCGACCGCGGGACGGGGCGCAAGATTCAGGCTGCCACACGGAGCTGCTGTGCGCGTGATGTGCAGGGGAGGGTCCATGCGCGGGGAGAGAAAGGGGGGGGGTGTGTGTGTGAGGTGAGAGAGGGAGACGTGAGGAGAGGTGTAGATGTGAGGAAGAGCGGCGTGTGTTTCGAGAGCTTGTTTGTGATGTTATCTAAAGCCGATGACTCAAAACATAATGGAAAAATTGCCAAAAAAGACAGAATTTCAGCCTGTGCTTGACGACATCCTTGCTCAAAGTCACAGAGAGGGAGCATCCGTGTCCTCTGCTCTCCTCCCTGCTCATCCGCTCCGGTAGTACAGTCCCCATTCAGGCCACGTGATTGGCTCCTTGGTCTCCATAGAAACAGGAGGCTGTATCAGAGGTAGGCTCATTAACATGCAGTCTCTCCTTCTCCCTCTCCTTGCCCCCTCTTCTTGCATTTTGTTTTCACTCTCCTTTCTACTCCTCACGTACTAAAAACAAGCACTACTCGCTCTGACCCCTCCCTTTGCAGGAATCAATGCCCTGGTCTGGAGTGGCTTTCAAAAGCACGTGAGGGACATACAAGCAGCGGCATGAACAGCAGGGGGAGACGGAGAACGGCTTTTGTTAATTATGTTGCAAGGATGAGGAGAGTCAATGGAGCTGGGATACGGCAGCTCATTCATTCATTTTCACTCATGGATCTATTTTGGGTTGAGTGATGTCGGGCGTGTGTGCAAAATTCAACTGTTAGTTCATTAGGAATTGGACTGAAAAGGAGTGGACTTCCAGAGAAACACTGTCTCTTGATTTAAGACTGATTTGACATGTGGGGTATATGAAGACATCAAGTCATTCACAAGTCCCAGCACTCCTCTAGTGCACAGAAACATGCCTTGGCCAATATCGACTTTGAGAGCGATAGTTCTAAGATTTCACACAACACTAGATTATTGAACGCCATAATGCCAGAAATGTATTCACCAGAAAGAAAGTACAGACCTTGCAGAAGAGTTGCATCATGTGCAAGTAGCCAGACAAGCGGAAAAAGCTGTATAAAAGTGACATTTCTGAAACCCAATTAAAACTTTTGTTTCTAATAACTCTGATGACTATGAATTTGATTTTGTGATTAAATGTTTAGGCTTTATAATCTGTGTGTTCTATAGAAATAACATTGCCCACAGTGAGAGAAGGAGGAATGACTGGCCGCTGGCTCGAGTCCCCAGGGGCAGATGGATTTCCAGGGCAGACTCCACACTTGACCGTCGATGTATCGAGTGTTAACCCCAAGGTGACTGCTGTACTAAGACCTCTGCCTTTGCCTTAATAAACCTGTGTAGGTAATTGTAAATCTGCACTGGCCTTTAGTGCAATTAACAGACATGTAGGCCCTAATTATTACCGGCAAGAGCTGATCTCTACAGCTCGCTCCATTGTGCCGTTTCACAACACTGCATTTTGTTCACAAATATATTTTAGAAGAATGGCTTACTTTGACACGTAAAGAGGATGACAGCCTGGCTTTTACAAAGTGACGTTTGCCTTGGGAATCAGTGATTAAGACTTTGACATTATGTGGCAAATACATCACAGCATTGGAATGACTGTAATATCATGATAATAGAAATGGTAGTAATCTCAGGTCTCTGCAGTGGCTTCCTGTGGCTCAGACTCAGACTTTAAAGCAGCTCTGCTTGTGTACAAGTCTCTCCATGGCCTCGCTCCAGAGCACATCCGAGACATGTTAGTACCATATGAACCAACTCAGACTCTGAGGAGCACAGGGACTGTCCTCCTGCTGGTGCCCAGAGTCAGGACTAAACATGGGGAGGCAGCGTTTCTGGAACAGGCTCCCGGAGGTTGTGAGACAAGCCTCGTCTCTGGCAATGTTTAAACCCAGGCTGAAAACGGTCTCATTTAGCTATGCATATGACTAATTTGAAGCATTTATCTTTCAATCTTTTTAACTGTTATATTTTTTCATAATTGCTTGTGAGGCACTTTGGGTTACATTGTATGGAATGTGCTTTGTAAATAAATGTGATTGATTGATATAATAAATCTAGAATTGGAGTCAAACTAAATCACACAAAATAAAACCAGAAACCCAAACAACATCCATTTTCTTCCACTTATCCAAGCCCCTCAACAGCCGTTCTACAGAGGGGCAGCATCTCTAGGAAAGTGTATTTGTATAGCACAGTTCATACACAAGTCAACATGAAAATAAACAATAAAACAAGGCACTAAAATCATAAACAATCACGGTGCATTCAAACGAGTGAAAACACGATCCTTCACTTGCACAGATAAGCAGACCTGTTCTTTAACCTGGATTTGAACATTGTCAGAGTAGAAGCCTGTCTCACATTTCCAGGGAGAATATTCCACATTTTAGCATAAATCTGAAGCGCTGAGTCCCCATATCCCTACGCTGAGCTCCTCCTAAGAGACTGAGCGGACCTCTTTTATCCTGGTTCTGGTCCTTTCGGTCATTACCCAAAGCTCATGACCATCCTTCGTATTCTAGCGTCAGAATGAAACTAAAAGCTCCGATCCGGGTGTAGACACCAGTAAGTGACCGTACGACAAATCCATTTTCACTTAATTGCCAATTATATAAATGTTTTGCCCGATAAGCCACACGTTCCTTCATTCCTCACACATCCCACTTGCTGACATTTGGCTCCTGTTGAAACCCTCTGTAAAAGGAGCCCAATGCTGCAAAGGCCTTGCCGTGTCACCTTCGGCACCAGCGCTGGTTAATTGGCCTGGACTTTCTGCTTTATCTCGGGCTCAATTACGCTGAAGCATGTTGGCATTTTGTTTAACCTTGCACCGACTGACGACCATCGGATTTCTAGAGGAAGAGATCCATGCATGTGTGCTACTGTAGCGAGGCGAAGGCAGAGGAGGGGGGGGAGGAGGAGGGGGGGAGGGTCTTAGTAGTCTGGGCACACGCCGTGATGTAGAGTGCAGAGCCGACCGGTGAGCACGCTGCCCTTTCACACTGACAAATGCACTCAAATTTATGCTATCAGCTACGGGGCCCTCAGCACATGGGCTGCATATAGAGGCGTGCAGGGAGATGCATGCTGCTACTGCGTGTGTTTATAATAACAGCCATTGCACATGTTCTAGAAAGCAGCTTCAGTGACAGACTTATTCAACCTTGCAGTGTTAAGGAGAGGTTATTTGCAGGTCTTTCCTCTGTGCTGGTGTCAGACTGTACACCAAGAACGAGTCTGTACACGTGCCACTCACCTGTCCTGATAATAATTCACTTTCTTTTTTACATGTTGTTATGATTATTACTACATTATTACATATCTACTCATCTGGTATTTCTGTCATTCACTCGGCACTTTACCTGCTGCTATTATTACTATTGTTTATTCTGGTCATATTCTCTGCTGCTAAAGTACAATATACACATCTGTAAATACCTCTGAACCAAGTGCAATTATAGCTCCAGAGTTTTATTTTATGTTATTTTATCATCTTTCTTTCTATTACTTTATTATTCTAATTTTCCTTATATATTATCTTAAATAATAGATCATGTTTGTTGTGTGCAATCTGAGTGCTTTTATTTCCTACTTTTTATTCTGCTGCAATGTACGCAACAATGACATTTAAAATTTCCCCACTGTGTTTTATGTTTAGAGTTGAATTTATTAAGGATAATGTTCAGTTGGATTAAAAAAGATGGCTGCACTAGATTTGCACAATGCTGCTTTCCATCTGTAGTTCTTGACAAAACAATCATTTAACAGTTCGATAAAGTGAAAGAAACGTGTGAGCCTGCTGTTAACTCGGGCTGCTGTCTGTCAGAGCTGTCGATACCACACACATCTCCAAACAGGGGACTTTCAACTTGATATGAAGCATTTCTACACGATATGGTTCAGGCTTTTGAAGAGAGGGGGGAAACTTTATTTGTCCAAATGTCAGTGTTGCTCACAGTAGTAGAGCGCAGGTGCTGTACATGGGTTATAATTAGTGCTGTTAAACTTTTGCAATTAATCTCATGAATGTCACAGTTGACTTACAATCAAATGCAATTTATCACACTGTTTTCTCTGTTGAAAAGCAAACCAACAAAATTGCAGAGTAATCTTGTGGCTGCACACCACTCGAGCACATTATTACGTGGTATATTTGACCCAAAGGTTTTGCCTAATATAGACAATAAAAGACAAACACACATTTAGAGCCATCTTCATGTTGAGAATATTTAACATGAGATAAAACTTTATTGATCTCACAACGGAGAAATGTACATGTCACATTTGGCCTCAATAGGATCAGGGTGTGCAGAGGGACAAGAAATGTGCAAACATGTGAATGTTAAAAAAGCGAAAAGATAGAGATTTAATTTGGCTCTTTATGTCTAAGAATGTGTAATTGTTTCTGAAGCTGTGAAGATGAATTCTGTAAAGACACAAAAAGCATTCTCTAAAATCTTTATGAATGGAGGAGTGCAGTGTGAGAATTGTGCAATACCTTTATTGCATATACAATATTCTGTATCTTTCGCTTTTTGTCTGTTTGCACATGTTCAGTCTGTTTGCACACCCTGAGTGATGCTATTCATGCCCAATGTAAATGTGTCCACTGTGAGATCAATAAAGTTGTGTCTTATCTTACCTTATCTCGAGAAGCGCTGACGTGACTTTGACAATGACTTTAAACACTATTTTACTCTGACATTGGGACCAAAGAGCCTTAGCTCGCTTTGGTGTCTTCTTTTTTACTTAAGTGGTTCTGATACAAAAGAATGAGTGATTTTAAGAATGAACGCATTCAAAATACTGCCATCAAGTGGTAGAAACTGGGAACTGTGTTCTGCCAAAATATGACGACGCATCCCAGGAAGCTCAATATTATTATAGCTTGTGCGATACAACTAAACCTCATTTACTAGCCTCCCTTGGCCGCACGTCACAGAAGCTACCATGGAT